GAAGCCAATTCTCCATTCTTGTTTCCCCCTAAAATCTCGAAAATCTTGAATAGATGGATAGAGAAGGCTTATTAGAAGAGCACGGCATGCAGAATTTCTGACAAATGATATTCGAACGTCCTACCAGCCATGCATGTGCACAATGCCACCATTGAAGAATTCTTGGCCATTGGCTATATGGGGAGACAATGGCAACAAGCTCTGCACAAGAGGGAATTTAAGCAAATAGTTTCTCTTGTCCCTGGGATTTCACAGGACGAATTGGATCCACCTGAGTTGTCCTGCATACATATCTGCAACTTTATTTTCATGTCTTTTTGTTTGTACAATGTACGTGCATATAATTAAATGAATCTCACATTAATGGGAAATGAACCTTTCATATACTTATAAATAAGTTGGACTACTCCCCATATTGTTAATTGGTTTTATGTTAAAACCTCAACTTTCTTCATGTTATCACAACAGGTTATCCCACATGTGAAGCCCAATAGCCACGTGCACTTCACATCACTTTGTTTGTTTGTATTGTCCATATGTTAGACTTGAAAGTTCGCCACATGTAAGGAGACGTGTTGAGATGAATTTGACATTGACAGGAGAAAAGACATTTCATAAACTTATAAGTAAGTTGTTTACTTCTCATATTGCCCGTTGATTTTATAGTAGAACTTCAATTTCTTTCATAAGTAATACATATTTGGCAACATGTACGAACTTGTGAATGTAATATATAGAGACCTTTGTCTTGGCACTCATAAAGAATAAGCATACATTCATTGGCTTCTTTTATTTGATACCAATCTAGTTGTTTGCCTTGGTATACTATACATATGTATACGAGTACGTAATGGACATGATGACTACTAAAAAGATAATCTCATATATTGACAGGATTAGTTGCTTAAGGGGTAATAAAAGTCACAAATTAGGGTTAGATACGTACAATTGTTTGTAATATGTATATCTTAATTACTGCTTTCATGGCAAGGTTGTGGCCATATATATCTCCTTACAAGAATGTGCAACCATTGTAAGTGGATCTTTCTTTCTCTGTCTCTCTCTCACACACAGACACTTTGATAAAACTGGTACTTAGTACGTTGTTTGGTGTCTATAAATAATGTGTTTCCAAGAGAATAAAATTGCAAAGACCGTAGATCATATCATGCAACAAAGCAACTTCCAACTTAATCAAAGATTCACATTTGGAAAAAAAAAAAATGCTTTCGTTGACCTTTTTATTATCATTGGCTTCTTTACTTTAAATATATATAACTTTGTTAATCATCAAAAGTAGACATATATTAACATCAAAAGTAGACATATGGATGGAACACCTATGTCTCTCCATTAAATCATGCTTCTTCTATGTTTATACATATATTCGTTTAGGAAAAATCCTAAAGAGGCCATCTTTTTAGATCATGTTTTGTAAACCACATAATGTGGCGGTTGATGATTTGACTACTATTTTTAATGATTTAAAGAAGAATTCCAACCACTAACCGGCACGATATAGGATTTACAAAATATGATCTAAAACGATGGTTTCTCTAGTATCACGCATTGATTGGAACTTGGAATGGAAAAGAAAACCCAATTTGATATGTAGAAAGCAGAAGAGGTGCCTGCCTTTGTTTTGTTTAGTAAAAATCAGTCGTGTCGTTTATATATTAGATTAGACAAAGAGGAATCAAATCATCGAGCCATACATTCCATGACATGATCTATCTTTGTTTTATCAAGTTAATGAACGAAAAATACATGCATGCTAAGATTTACTTTTTGTATTATGAGAAATTTGCATATATACTAATTAGGAAATGGCCCCCTTAATCATTAATGTAAGAGATTAAATCATTTAAGCGTCAAATTGGATTCCTCTTTTTGTGGGGCGATTTTCACCCTCCTATATACACACACACACACACGAGACAGATGGATATATATGTTTCGGAGGAATGAATTTGAAAAAGAAAATATTAGAAAATATTCAGTCCTTCTGAGTAAAACAATGATTAAAACTGTGTTATAGGTCTGATTAAACTATAAGAAAAGGGGATCCGCCTCTATGATCTCTACCTCTCTCTATCTTATTTTGTTTTTATTTTTTTTCTCAAAATATATTATTTTCTAGTTTGTAGTGTTTTTTACTTTTAATTATTATGACCCACCACTTGGCAATAAGAAAGGGATCTAAAAGCTATGACGAACAAAAGGCAGGCTAATGAGAGGGACTAGCTTGTTTTCACTAGAAAAAAATTAAGGATTCTTTTGAAAATGTTTTTAAAATGATTTAAAGCGTTTATAGAGAAAATGTTTTTAAATTTTAAAAGCAGTTGAGATGTCTCTTGCAAGAAGCATCAGTTACATGTTTTTTTTTTTTCAGAATTCACTTGCATTTTTACTAAGGATTGGTTCCAAAAATATTTTTACCGAAAGAGTTATTAATTAGTCATTTTAGAAGCACTTCCAAATGAGCTCTAAGACAAGTCAATTACACCCATAGTAATGTCCAGCAGTATACCATTAAATTGTAGTCTGGTAGATTAGATAGTAATTACAAGGTAAGAAAAGAGAAATAGGCAAAATAAGCATTAGGGCATCTCCAATGGGACAATGTAAAATTGAGATGCAAAAATCATATTTACATCTAATTTTATATTTCCGTTACATGCAAATGAATGTTATAATTCAATGGGAATGATGTAAATTTAAGATCTCTTTTAATTTCTACCTTTGATTAGTGGGATCCATCACCAAAAAGATGTAAAAAATAATGTAAACACAGGTCTTTATTCATATCTTTTGGTGAATATGGATAATTTACATTCCGCCAATAGAGAATTTTCCAGCAAAGAAAAAATGTAAAAGGCCCATTTCAGGACATTTTGAATCTTTCATTGAAGATGCCGTTACTAGGCAAAATAAAACTTACCTTTTGCTAAATTTCAAGCTATGTCATCAGAAATTCTTATGAATCTAGTTTAAGGATTTTAGTTGGTGTTTAATTTCATTATTTTTAAGGGGAAAAGATAAACTTATGGATCATTTCATTGTTTTTTGTAGGTCATTACAAATATATTTTCTTTGAAATGAAAGAAAAAACCATCCAATTCTTTGAAATGAAAAAAAAGGTGAATAACACTCCTTAAATATCTTAATGAATTGTTATGGACATGGTAAGGGGATAAGGATTAATTTGGATTTAGATTGTGACAACAATATACTGCTACCAATGCGTTATCTTTACAAGAAAAAGGCACAAAATTAAATGATCATGCTTTTTTTTTTTTTTTTTCTAATATCCAACATGCTTTTCTAATGCATATCTGCAAAAATTTTACCCACTAATAGGCTTAAACATTTTCTTTGGAAAGTGGAAGTCCCTGCTAAAAGCCATATGTATGTCGTCCAACAAGAAATCTCTTTCATGCAAACGAACTGTGCGACTAGATTGCAGAAACGACATTTCCAAGCTCCAACAGGCTGAGCATGCATAGATTTTTAAGAAGGTTAGTGAAAATCTCCAACTCGCATGACCTTTTTTCAGTTTATAGTTTAATCCCGTGTGTACTTGTAAAGATCGCACCATGTTTTGCCCTACACTGTACTTGAAAGGAACCACATTATTTGTGGACAAAAAAGAAAAGTGCAGTTCCCACATTACTTAGCTTCTTTTCTTTTTATATCTTCGTTTCTTTGTTTTATTATTATCGATTCATTGCCGTGATGAATCCAAATGAATAACCTTTGTATCCATATCCAAATTGCAATAGTATATATACTATATATTTAAAGATTTAGAGATTGATCTTTCATTCTAAATCGATGCTTATCTGGACATCGTCATAATTTAAGGAAATTTTTATCGGTGGTAGTTATTATGTACTCATTTTCTTTTTCATTTTAGAGAAGAGCACATATGATTATTTGTATTGTAGTACAAATAATAGTTTCCTAATTCAAATCTAATTAATAACACAATTATGACATATGCCATAACTTTGTATTTGATCCGTTTGCATATGTCTATGCATTATGTTATTTTTTTAATGAGAAATGGGAGATTCGAGTTTGAGATATCATTGCCACTATATCTTAGTAGCTAGTTAGCTATCAGCACTAAAATTATACATATATTTGTAGTTTATTGTCATCAACTTAATTTTATAAGAGTTTCATATGATAGTCAATCACGTTGCATCTTGTGATCACTACCAATTTTTTAAAATCAACTATATAAGCAACATAAATATATTCAGATTATAAAAATACTCAGAAACAAAAGCTCATGATCGACCATTTTTCGAAAAGGTGGGTGTGATGAGGTGATCAACTTAGTGCCCCTTAAAGATTCATAATCGCTCTAATTAGGGTATGTGAAATGAGTGAATCCCACAAAATCAATTATCCCAACCATATAATATTGTCCGACATCATACACGATAACGTGAGATTGGATGAACAAAACTAACAATGTCCTCACTTTGCACCATGGTATTTAGTCGTTCTATATTCCTAGTGTAACGTTTGGCTCTGCATACTCCCAATCTGCTACTGGTAGATTTTTGATATTCAGATTTACTTTTTCCTTTGAGTGCAAAGAGTGGTGGTGGGGGAATACACATAAAAAGCAATGAATGTACAACCATCATCCATCCTAACTTTGATATGAGATCACCTTTAAAATTTGTTTTCCAAGATTTTGTGAGGATAATCTATCTAAATTAAACTTCTGAAATAGTTTATTGTAAAGGGAACTTTAAAATATCCAACCATATGCTCGATGAAAAATTTCCACCGACAAATTGTAGTGTGCTCATGTAAGCAATTGTTGGTAAGTAGTCGATTTGTGTAGATTGTAAATGGATTTTATTGGTGTACGCGTGTGTATAAGCGATTGTGGATAATTGATGTAACGCTAGCTCAAAAAATCAGTAGAAACTAAATAAGATGTGATTTAATGGACTTTAGTGTTAAAATGACGAGGCAAATTGAAAATGATAGCAGACAACAATGTACTTGAGCAATTAAGCAATGATTTCACACATCCAAATTTATCTAAAAAACAAACAAAAAACTCAACTCCAATTTTCACCAAAAGCATCATAAAAGTTTTAAATTAAACACTACTATCGTTTACTTTATGCACATCCATCTCTATCTCTTGGTGGGTTCCTTCTTTGTCTCCATCTCCTCCTTCACCACCGCCTTCTTCCCTAATATCTCTAGCTTTGATGTAAAGGCCGTATACATAAGAACAGAAGCCCCATCCACACAAGAAAGTGGAAACCACCTTCACACCCCCAAACGAATCCCCGTACACCAAAACGCCTCCCAACACATTCATCCCCATCAACGCCGTCATGCAAATCCCACCGGTCAACGAAGAGGTTAAGAACACCATGCCGGCTGTCCCAATGAAGCAAAGCTGCCACGTCACCACGTTGCACCACACAGTCACCCAATACACGTTTTCTCCTTTGTCAAACACCCTCGCGCTCTCCACCTTCATCTCGCGAAACCCGCCTTTGAAGGCCATCCCGACCGTGGCCAACACCGTGGCCGCAGCCTCCATCACCAGCTGCATTTCGATCACCATGGCGTAGCAGTAAACCTTGCTGTATATCTTCTCCATGACCGGGAGATACAGAGCAAACAGCAAGCCTGCCCCAATTGTTGAGAAGAACCCTAAGAAATACTTGCCACGTGTCAGGTCATGTGGCTTGTCATGGTTGGACCCCAAGGCCAGTAGGACTGAGCTTAGGGTTAGGAGGATAACACAGTTGAGATTTGAGAAGGTTACTTTTTGCTTGACAATAATTACAGAGAGGATGAGATTGAAAACAAGTTGGGAGGAGAGGAGGAGGGAGGAGGTGGAGACAGGTAAATAGGAGTTACCCCAAGAGAAGAGGAAGTTGTTTAGACCCAGCATAAGACCTATGAGAATTGACAGGACTAAGATTTTGGGGGTGAAGTGAGAGAAGGGTTTTCTTTGGGTGCAATGGAGGAGATAATAAGGAATGAAAATAAATGGAAGGAGGAGAGGGAAGCCAGAGCATTGAACCCACGTTGACACCCAAATGCTTGAGCCCTTGTGGATGAAATAGTACTTTGAGAGCAGGCTTGAAGAGACTGATCCAATGAAGAGGCACAAGTAATTGATCACTAGGAGAGGCATGGAGCGCTTATTGGGTTTGATCATCGAGCCTTTCTCGCTCAGTTGTGTTGTGGTGGTGTTGTTGATCAAGAATGATGATGAATTGGTTGTGGTCTGAGGGATGTGGTGGTTGGTGGTGATGAGGGTGGGGCAGCCGTGATCATGGTGGTGGTGATGGTGGTTATGGGAATTGGGGGAGTTCATGGGTGAAGTTTGGACTAAACTCTCCATTAAATGTAAATTAGATAGGGAAGAGACTGAAGAGGTATGAGGAGGTGAGAGGTGAGAGGTGAGGAGGTGAATCTCTTATTAATGAGAAAGGTATATATAGTGTGGATTTAGAATTTCAGTGGTATTTATCTTTTCACTCAAAATCCGAATGTCTCCATTCAGAGTCAGCTTGTTTTAAAGAAAGTTAAAAAACGCATTATAAAAATATATATAAAAAAAAAAAAAAAACAATACAGATTAACTTTTTTATTTATATTTTATAAACTACACGATGTGACGGCTGATGATTAAATTTTTTATTTAAATTATTAAATAAAGAATCAAACCATTAATCATCACATCATTTAATATTAACTGCTAAAGAATAAAGATGTATTCACTTGAGATATTAGAGAAAATTTTAAAAATTCAGGTATATATTAAATCAAGATTTTTTATGAGTAAATGAATTTCAGGGTTATTCAATTAAAACTTAAAAGAAAGTTTATAGAAATATGAGAATATTAATAAGTATTTTACATAAATTTATAAAAGTACATTGTATATAGGACTCTCTCAAAAGTAAGACTATTCATGAACTTTCTATTATTTCATAGTTTAAAGTCAATTCATGTGTCAACATTATAGATATTGTGCAAAAACATAAAATGACAGAAAGTCTCAATCTTGACAGAATCCCCTTAACATTTAAAATGCTTACTTTTATTTTTTTTCCTCTAAAGTGTTTTAGTTCATATATTCAACTCATTATAACAATTTTTTTTTCATTTCGCCAAGAGTCTCCACAACAATTTGAGAAGAAAAAAAAAAGTCTCGATCAAACTTTCAAACACCAAAGATGGATAATGTGCTTTTGTTATGACTTCAAGTCTCGAAACGGCTACGTTTAATTGTCTGCTTCCCGTTCTCCTCGTGGCCTCCACTTAGCACATCCTCATGCATGCAATGCCAAATATGAGTCACGATGAAGAAGAGGTGGCATTAATTATGTCTCTACTACTTGTATCGATATTGTCTTCATTTAATTTATCGTGCAATCTATATATGCGATTTTTTTGTTAAACAAGATTTTATTCTAATTTACATAATTCAAAAGCTGTAAATAAATAAGAATATGCATATAAAAAATTAAAGGGTAATGCTAAGAAGATAAAATTTCTAAACCAAATTTTGTAAATCAAATGGTGTGGATACTAATGATTCGATCATTACTTAAATGTTGATTAACATACTTATTTCAATTGATGACATATCATTTGGTTTACCAATTTAGTTTAAAATTGTATTCTCTCTAGCATTATCCAAAAATAAATGTATAAAAATCACACCCTGTAAATAAACAAAGGAGCTGGAAGATAGAGAACATGTGTTTTTGTTATGACTTGATGGAACATATGCATATAAAAAAAAAATGTGCGAAAAACACATTTTTAAATAAATAAAGGAGCTGGAAAAGAGAGAGAGAGAGAGAGAGACTGTGTGTGTGTGTGTGTTTTTGTTATGACTTCCAAGTCTTGGGACGGATGCATATGAAAAAAAATGAAAGTGTGAAAATCAAATTGACTAAACAAACAAAGAAGCTGGAAAAAGAGAGGGAGAACCGAGAATGTGCTTTTGTTATGACTTGAAGTCTTGAAACGTCTAAAATTAATTGTACGCTTCTACTCGTGGCCTCCACTTATAGCACTTCCTCATGCATGCATTGCCAAATCTGAGTCACACGAGGAACAAGAGGTTGCTTATTTCCAAGTGCCTAGACTTTCAGATTTCCAGTTACACGGTTTTGGTGGGTATTTCGACACGTGTTTTAACTCTTAAGCATGCGTTACTTTCTTGCATGCATGCCTAGTCTCGATGATGCCCTAGACCCCAACTTCGGATAAGGATTGCCAAGATTGGTCGTTAACTGGGATTTTTTGGGGAGTAGGATTGAATTAATATTTTCAACTGGATGTGGTTAGCAGTTACGTATCATCAGTGAACATTAAACGTTTTCTCATCATGAATCACGATGCTCTTGCCCGAAAAGGGGAAGCCTATTAAGCTCGATGAAGCGAAGTGATCAACTTCGTGCAGCATTATACGTTATAGCGTATATATCACTTGAAAATTAAAAAATGATGTCTAAATCTTCTTACAAGTCTTTTTAGGTCGTGACTCACTTAGACAAAAAAATAAATAACTTTTATTTTGCAATTTATTTTTTTAATAAACTGTAAGAGACTTGTTAACTACTTGGATGAACACTCATTATATGCTTATTCACCATGTTGTCAATATGTTCTAATACTCTATATGTCATTCTATTTTTCAACTTATGTATCTCAATATAATTATGTATTTTTTAAAACACAAGTAAACATTTATTAATATATTATATAATAAATTTAATTAAAATTTGAAAAACCGCCTATACGTCTAGAGGCTAGGTTCCTTACCATCGCTTATCATCTTTTAAAATCTTAAAAAAAATATAAATTTATTTATTTAGAATGCTGCTATAAACCATCCATACATTTGTCCTATTTATGATTTGTCAGTGCACCTAATTTTCTCAATGCTATCATATTTTTTTTTTTTCTCAATGTAAAATGGGTGCATCCGATCCAATACAATGAAAGAGTGAGTGCATTCGGTAGACTTCCACATCACCCTAAATTATAATTCCAGCTATGATATACTTTTATTGCATAGAGTAGGTGCATCATAGGTTAAGCAATTATATATGCGCAAGACAAAGCTTCGTAGGCCATCGAGCTATAGTAAGAACTAGGAAAGTGGCTACTCTAGCTAGTAATGTCTTTTCCTTTCAAGTGATTTTAGTTAATGCAGTTTTTATCAATTAATACAGGGTATGTTAGAAAGGTCATCAATTTAATTATATTTTGTAAATCATATATTATGTTTGTTGATAATTGAATTATTACTTAACTGTTGATTATCATGTTGATTTTCTATTTATTACACATCACATAATTTACAAATAAAAGGCACCTCCAAGCCAACAAAGCTCTCTGCTTTGCAAGGGTCTGGAAGGAAAGTCTATCGTATGAGCATTGTTCTTACTTTACAAAAAAAATATAGTCTAAAAAGTTAATCAGTCTAACATTACTCATAATTAAAATTTATCTTTTTAATATTTTTAAAAGGGAATTATTATTAGCATTCTAAAAATCTTATTCTACACTCAAAACTTTCTATATTAAGAAAGAAAAAAATACTCTTGTAAGGAGTGTAGAATGAGATTTTTGGAGTGCCAATAACACTTTCCTTTTAAAATTGATATAGAGCAAATGTTCCATCAATGAGCTTAAAAGTAGGGAAGTGTTATTGGCACTCCAAAAATTTCATTATACACTCCTTATAAGTGTATTTTTCTTTCTTAATATAGAAAATTTGGAGCGTAGAATGAGATTTTTAAAATGCTAATAATAATTATCAAAAAGTAAATAATATAATTAAATTAGGCAGCAATAACTGAAAAGCTGCGCCAATTTCAGAAGTAGGTCTTAGTATTGATAAGACAAGGTTCCATCATAAAACCTCTACATAGGCAGGCAGCTGCAGGCAGACCTAGAATTTAATTTGCATGTTTTGAACATAGCCAGGCTCATTTTCTGCTTCGTTCATTCATATTTGGTGATTAATTCATGGATTACTCAAATTGCAGGTAAGATCACTCTTAAAAGAAATATCAAATTATAATAACTAATGAGGATGTATTCAATTGAGAATTTGAGAGATTTAATGGATTATAAATCCATGAATTTTTATAGAGTTTAATTGATTTGTAGATATTTCATATAAAATTTTAATTCAATTCTCCTCGAAATCTCATAGGGAGGGGTGAGATTTGTGGATGCTTAAAATATATTACGAAATTTCTCTAATTCCCTCTAATTCCTCAATTTTCTCAAATTCTTTAAAATCAATTTCTAATTGAATACACCTAGAATGTGATAAGCTTCTTTAAAATCCTAATTGACTACACCATAATTTCTAAGGATTTTAATAAACTATCTTAAAATTCTGATTGAATACATCTTGAATTTCAGAGAATCACTTAAAATCTTAATTGAATACCCCTATATTCATGAAAAGAATTAAAATCCCCCAAAATCACAATTGAAAACACCCCCCCCTAAATTTAAAATTGAGGGTTGATGTGGTAATCTGATGTTTGTTTGTCAAATTTTATACTTCTACAACCGAATTGTCAAATGTTATTTTCTTATTAAAATAGAGGTCTAAATGGTTGTAATTGTTACAAAAAATGTTGAAACAAAATTTTATTGATAGAAATATTAGTGGAATAAAGAATCAACCATTAAAATTATTTAAAAATAAATTTGACTCCTAATCACAAAGCCTTCAAATCTAGTCAGCAAATAACACTTCAGTTGGAAAGATTTTTTATGTCAAATATGCATAATGACATTAGGATTTTGACATCTCCTAAGTCGTTTTTTGGTACATGAGAAATTCTAAGGGAATTCTTTCAAAGTCTCACTCTGTCACCTCATGTTTTAAGCACAATGTTTTATAATGTTGACATGAAAATTGATGTTAAACTGTGAAGTGGTAGAGAGTTCATGCAAAGTCCTCTTTAAAAAGTCTCATTTGCATTTCTCTCTTCTTCTTTTTTTTGTTAAACCTTAGCATTTCTCTTTGGTAAATTCATTCATGGAAGTTGTAAATACAACCGCCTTTCGTTCATTTACTATATTTCCAATTAGGGAAAAGAATGCTTTGACCCAAAAGAAATGAGGGAAACAAAAGGCCTTAGTGGAAAATAAAGTCGACACCAACCGATATTTCGAAGGGACTCTCTAATCACTTAAGATTTGATTACTAATCCATCTTAAGAAGTGAGTTCTGTGTAGTGGATTTGCCTCCTTACAACCAAAAATACAAATCGAAAATTGTCAATTGTAAATAAAATAGTGTTATTTTCCAGTCCTGGAAACTGAAAAATGGAAATGGATCCTCTTCGGATCATTTTCTCTTAATCTACCAAGTCTGGGGATCCGAACCATTGAAATTTGATCCAACAGCTATCACTTTAAAAATT